AAAAACATCTCCACTGTGTCCCGGAAAGGATCTCTTTGCCTATGTCGAGCTAGGGAGGAAAGGTTTCCGGTTACTTCCTTGCTGATGTATGATCAGAAGGTTGTTGTATGTACATAGGAGATTTGCGATAGGGCCGAATAGGGAGATAGACCTGGATTATATGTATATTATATTTATGGTTTTGGATCTTTATGCGAGATAGACTTATGCGATATTGGTGAACATGGTGGTTTTGCTCACCCCCATTGTTTGTTTTGTCATCTTGTTTCCTCTTCCTATCTTTAGGTTGAATAATGTTGGCGGCGGCAGCGAGAGACGAGCAAGTGGTGGTCATTGGATCGTCATGTCTTTGCTTCCGCATTATTTATTTGTGTTGGATTATTAGTTATGGATTATGATGCTTCCGCTTAAACTTTTTGTCGATCATGTTGATGGGATCATGTTGAAATCTCTAGAATTTCGTTTTGAAACTTATTATAACTTGGTTTGATTATTATGTTGTTAGAGATGCATGCGTAGGTTCTTGTGGTTGGACTAAATTGTTATTTTTGTTAGTAGTCAAGTAGCGCTCGTTGATATTTACAGTTTTTAAATTGGGATTTTGCGAAAAATTAACTCTGATTTTTATAAATAAATTCGGTAAACTCTTTAAAATAAAACAGGGCGTTACATGTATGTCTATCAATTCGTGTTCTAAAAGACTTATGTTGATCTTGTCACCACACATCTGACTCTCATTCTTTCTGCGTGTTTGACGAAGATCTTCTCCGACAAACTCTTTGTGAATGAATCAGCTAGGTTGTCCTCTAATACAATCTTGGCAACCTCGATGTCTCATCTTCATACGATGTCTCATATTAGGTGGTACTTGCCATCTATGTGTTTACTTGTCTTGTTGCTCATAGTTCCCTTGAGTTTGCTATTGACCACTATTATCACAGTAAACTGTGACACCCTGTGGCAAACTCGAAATCACCTATAAGTCCACCAAGAAGTTTTTTTGAGCCAAACTGCCTCTTTCGTTGCCTCAGAGGTTGCGTCATACTTGGCTTCCATGGTGGACTCTGCCATGCATTTCTGCCTAGCACTCCCCATAAAATGGCTCCACCTCTCAAAGTAAACACATAAGCTAAGATTAAACTAAGTAGCTCACACCCCGTAGTAGAGTCGACTAGCTGGTTGATCTTAGGCAATGCGTACAGGTCCTTCGGGCATGCCTTGTTCAAATCTCGAAAATCAATACGCATTTGCCATTTTCCTTCAGAATTTGACACCATGACAGTGCTAGAGAACCATTCCGGAATTGAATCTCCTTGATATGCCAAGCTTTCAATAACTTCCATACCTCCTGCTCGATCACTTTATCCATCTCGGCTCCATGATGTCTTCTTTTATGTTCCACCAGCCTCACACTGAGGTCAATGTTCAGTCGATGCTCGATCATACTTGCTTCAATCCTCATCAATTCCTCTGCAGTATAAGCAAAAATATCTGCAAATTCCATCACCAACTCAACCATCCTCGACCTCAACGGGTCCTCCAGCTCCTTCCCAATCCTGAATTTTTTTTATCATTGCTCCCTTCGACCATCTAAACCTCCTCAATCTCACCACCATGTTAGATATTGACTTTTTTCTTCCCATTATCCAGCTTTGACTTCTCCTCTTTCGACCAAGAATTGCCCAGTCAATTCGGCATCTCCTCGTTCGATCTATCTTGCCTCCTGGCCATCTGTTTATTGTTGTTCGTTACCGTTTGCAGCTCCTCAATGTCAACTGATCTTCTGCTATCTCGCCTACTGGATACTTTATGGTCATATGATAAGTCAACACCACGACTTGAAAGGCATTCAAGCTACTCCTTCTCATAATGATGTTGTAGGATGACTCTGCTCCTACGACCCCAAATATCACCATCCGAACTTTCCTGGTCGCCCCTGACCATAGGGCGACCGAAAGGGTCACTTCTCAAATCAGTATCACCTCGCCACCATTAAAACCATACAAATCCGTCACAACAAGATTTAACTCCAAATTTAGCTCCTTATTGATTTGCGTAAAGCAATCATAGAACATCACATCGATCGAACACCCCGACATCAATAAACATCTTTTTACGTTAAAACTGGTGACCTCCGCTATAATGATCAGTGCATCATTGTGGGGTTACTAACACCCCATCTGCATCCTTTGCTCAAAAACTGATCACTAGCGCTCGAGCACATGCTCCCTCATTGTATTGTTCGAATACCCGCCTGTTGCCCCCCCCAGAAATCATGTACATTGTGCCTATTTTGATCAACACTTCACATCATTTCTCTTCTAGACCTTCATCCATTTACCTCCACCACCTCTTCTATCACCTCGCTCCTCTTGCGTATCATCATCCTCATCCTCGTCCTTGTCACTTCTTTCCATAGAGTCTTCCAGACACTTTCTCTTCTCCTCCTTCTTCACCATGTCATGGTAGATGAACTCCTTAAGGTGCTATGCTCGAATGAGACGCTCAATCTCGTCTTAGGTGCCTACAATCCTCTGTTGAATGTCCATAATCCTTATGAAACCTGCACCTCTTTAACTTTGGTTGAGTTGGTCCCTCGAACCTCGACCTCGGACACGTAGTCTCTCGACCATCCAACTTCTCCTCCATCGCGACCAAGACTTCCTCCAACTTGGCCTTCAACGGTGTGAAGATATAATATCTTTTTCCTCTTACAATAAGATGATCTCCCAATCTATTTTCTCGCCCCCTTCATTGCCTATTTCGCCCATCTCTGTAGGGCGATCCTCTCCTAGGTGAGTTCACAATCCCTTTTTTTTGCTCAAACCGAGCCATTTCCTCCGACATAGCAAATTCTGCTTCAGTGTCCTCTAAGTTGATGTACTTCTTGCATCTCTTTAGCACCTCATCATTTGTCCGAGCAGGGGTCTTGGCCAAGGAAGTTCGACAAGTCCCTCCTTGTAAACTCCTGACTAATCTACCGGCCTTGACCTCGTCGGAGGCCGATGGAATTTCCAAACATGTCTAGTTATATCGAGCAACATATTTCCTCAGTGAATCCTTCTCCCCTTATCGCATTGCCATCAAAGTCAAATAAGTCTTCACCTGCACCCCCGTGATCATGTACTGATTCTCTGATTTATCAGCGAAGTCCTAAAAATCTCCAATCAATACTAGGGGAAGCTAATGGAACCAATCAAGTGCCCTTCCTCTCAGGGCCGAAAGAAACGCCCTACAGCTGATCGGGTCAAACTACCCATGCAGAACAGTCATGTTCTCGAATGTCTGCACATGCCTCGACGGATCAGTTGATCGTCAAATGTCAAGCTCGTCTCCCTGAATTTCCCCAATAATGGTGCCGCAAATATCTTCCCGGAGAATGGGTGTCCTCGTGCACACCCTACTGGTCGACTATCCACCTTAGCCTGCAACTGACGCAACTGCTCTGTCATGCTCTCCATTTCTCCATCAAGTGGGGCTCCTCTCCTCTAGAACTCGAGACGTCCTTCTCAGTGTTTTGTTATGCTTCTACTACCGCGTGACATCCTGCACTGCATGCGCCTCAGCGTTGGTCATCATCTGCTCTATCTCCTGTATCTGTCATCGCCACTACCTGCTGGCCCCAGCGCTGCAACTCATCTCTCGGTGGCGCCACCACTTGCGCCACCACTCCTATAGGTTGCACTCTGGATGGGCCTGTAACGGTGCAGCCATCACCGTTGTTTGCCTTGCCCGAGTCTCTTGCACACGACTCGAGCCTACCTCTGCCACAAGAACTACCAATGAACTCCGAAACTTTGAAGAGCAGGCGTCGGGGTAACCGGAGTTTGAGAAGGTCTGAAGAATCCTGGAGGAGGGCCAACTCTGAATGGTCGCATCGTGGTCCATGCGTCATCGAACGACGGTTGGAAGTTTTTTTTCTAGGCATCTCGCCCGATATAGCTAAAAAACTCCAAAACCTCCGGGCACAACCTTGCAAACGAAAGTACCACAGACGTCGCTAAATGGTACGTAAAAACCTCATAACCGGCTAGAATTGGCTCGTTTGAATTCCTTCTCATCGGTAGAACACTGAGTACCTGCAAAAACTCTCACACCGGAGGGGTTTTCCGGTGAAGAGCCTTCGATGCTTAAGTCAATATAAGTCCTACTCAAGTCTCAAAAGTATAATGGATAAGTCGTGCTGAAATTGCAAAGCTCACTCCTCTATATGAGGTGAGGTACCTGCTTCTAGGGGGCTGCCCGAATGAGCTGAGATGGCTGCCTAAAGCTGCCCGACCTGTCTGGTCGTACAACACACACTGGAGGTGTGTCAGAAACGGTTATGTTATATGGACCAGTCAGGTTGCACCACGTGTCCTTGGCACGTGGGGATTTAAATTCCTCTAAGATCTTCTCGAAGTCTCTAATGCTCGAGAAAATTTAGGTCGCCTCTTGACTGCTCCGAGTCTGGTAAGTGGTCGATCAGACGACCATTTGTGGTGCATGTCGATCTTCAACCAGACCCTCCATGGGTCTAGGATCGACATGCTCTCCAAATGTCGGAATTCCCTTTAAGCTACCTTTCCACTCTAGAGGCTCCCGTTCATGTGGTGTTCGACCATGACCACCCTACTAGGATTTTGTTGAATTAAGGTGACTGACTCACTAGACGGTTACTCCTTGAGGTATAATATCCTATATATCATCTCAAATATAAGCTAACTCACCAACTATTAGCTAGCTTTACTAAATATAATCTAAATGTGTTTCCAACTTATAACTTATATCTGATAAAATTATTTGGTAAGATATACTCGCCAAACACACGTAAGTTCCAAATTCACTTCTCAACTAGCATATTTAAAAGTTCACTGAACACAGTTAACCTCCAAAAATCGTCCTACTGCGGTATGCCCAAAGCCTTCCGGCCCTTCCCGGTTCCCGCCCATAACACTAAATAGCAACCGCCCCAACTCATCCCCTCTGTTGTCTCTACAACACATCTTGGTTCGCTGTCAATGTCTACACTGCCGGCAGCTGATGGCGCCGCCGTCGAAGTGGACGAGGAAATTGAAGGAGAAGAAATTGGCTCCAGAAATTACCGCTTCTCAAAAATCGGAGAGTCCGTTTCCATTAATTCTGAGTTCGATACAAATTCCCTACCATCCCAGCCTCTAGCCGTCTCCGAACGGCTTCGCCTCCTATTTGTAGCTTATCCAAAGGGTAAAACCTCTTCGCGCCTCCTTTTTTTCGCTCATCGCGAGTGAAAACTACTACGTTGCTAATTATTGTGGTCTTCGGGTTTAGGGTTTTATGTTGCGAGGACCAAGGACGTGATTGCCACCGCCGAGGAATCTAAAGAGAAACAAAAGGGACAATCTTTACAGGAGCTGAGCCTCGTTGATGTCCCAATTGAGAAAGTTTCGATTTTGGCTCTATCAGCTGATGACTCATTGCTTGCTGCAAGCGTGGACAGCTATGTCCATTTCTTTGCTGTTAGCGCTCTGCTCCATAAGGTACTTCCCTTTTCCTTCGCTCCACATTTAATGGCTTTTAAATAACAGATCCGGATTCAGAGGTGCTTCACTGTGAAGATTTTTGGATGCTGGTAGATGAGTTATAGCTCATTAAATGGTTGATTAATAGGAAAAGAAGCCTTCGTATTCAGTGACGCTTGATGAGTCCAGTTGCGTCAAGGATTTTCGTTGGGCGAAAAAGGTTGCGAAAGCTTATCTCATCCTTTCAGCCAATGGAAAGTTATACCATGGAACTGGTCAAGGTCCCCTTGGTTATGTTATGGAAGGTGTCGATTCTGGTATGTTTCCTGATTTTTCTGTGTCTCTTTGGTCTCTTTGCAATTCACGAGTCTCAATACCATGTGGGCATAATATTATTTCCACAAAATCGTTTCAAAGAGTTTACCTTCATATATCACAGAATCGTTTCATTACTTCCGTTGCAACTAGTTTAAAACATCTATTTATGTTGAAACATATAAAACATCTATTTATGTTGAAACATAATAATTTTAGCGTCCAAAATGTAATTTTGATAATACTGTTCCCAGCCAGTTGAGATTGTGGTGTCACGATCAGTAGCTATTTGCATGTTGTAAAAATTGTTATGTAAAGTGTCACCTCAAAATTCAGTGTGTCACCCACTGGTATAAATATCCTTTGCTCACCAAAATTATTTATTTGTATAGTCGACTGGAGTGTTAAAGGCAATTTTGTTGCTGTTGCGAAAAAGAACGCCATCAGTATTTTGTCACCACAGTTTAAGGAAAAAGTAATATTTTCTCTACCATTTCGGTCGGTGGTTGGTGAATCTGATGTGAACCAAGTTATAAAAGGTACAATTCTTATGTTTTTGTCATCTCTCCTTTAAAGGTATTCCTTGTTGCGTTTTAAAGTTTATCTGATCGCTGATTCTATTTGCAGCTGTGTTAAAATTCTGTTGAATCTAATTTCTGTGTGCCAAAGGCATGCAGCTTTGATAATTGTGATAAGCATGACTATTTAGTCCTGGGTATAATCTTAGACTCTTGTATTACACTGCTGCACTATGCTGAGGTGTACTGACCTGGTACAATGATTGTGTTCTCTGAAGTGAAATGAGCACATAACTTCGTAGCGTATAACATTTTTGAAGGACAGTAGCAGTGATGATTAAGTTGATTGTTTTTAGGTCACCTTTGCACCATTAGGGCGGCTTGTTGGTAGTTGAAAGCTTGGAATATTAATGCTGCTTTTAGTAAATTCTGAAGGAGAATGAATGTATGTTGGTAAAGATTAACAACCCATTTATATGTTAAAGTTCATAAAAATACAAGGTTTTGAGGAGCATACTGCTTTATATTTGTTATTCAATCACAGGTAGCTTTTCACGTTCAGAATTTATAAGAATGATGAAGTTGCTGATATTTTATTTTGTAAGACCACAGATGTATAATTGTCGCCGAAACTAGAATTTGTTATGCACCTTTATATTCAATGCCTTGTTTTTACGCAAATGACTTTCGATGTTGTGTATCTCAGTGGATTCCATACGGTGGATCCGTCCAGATTGTCTAGCTGTAGGATGTTTCCAATTAGATGATGATGGTGCGGAGGAAAATTACATAGTCCAAGTCATCACAAGCCGGGATGGAAGGCTTACTGATGTAAATCTATTATCTTTTCTTTGAAATTACTTAACTCAATGCATTCCGTACATTTTGTCTCAAGGACTTGCTTGGAGCTTTACCTTGTTCCTTTTTTACTTTCACTTTTCTTTTGTTTTTTGTTTTTTGTTTTTGGTGGGGAGTCTTGATTTTGTTGGTATTTTGAGCTATTCTTGATTAATAATTACCTTTTCTTTTTCCCTCCCTAAAGTTGCCACATTTCATACCCAAGGATATCCTTGCCATACACTTAATAACATTGGATATAGTTTGATAAATAAATACGTACAAGAAAGATTTAGAATTCTTTATTTGGCTGGCACGCTCCATATGTAAAATTGAAAATTTGACTTATGCAGAAGTCATGACTCATGAGTGTAGACAGTCAGCTTATTCATCTAACATATTATTGCGTCCATCCATGCTGGAAAAATAATAATCATACAAGTTTCGATCTCCTTGACACTGGAGTTCTTTGCAAGTGCTTATATTATACTGTTCATCATGTTAATTAATGCTTATCTGCTTATCGGACTAATAAACCGGGTAATATGTGGAGTGTTAGAATACTTTGCAATTGTCTTGAAACAGCATGAGTTTGTTGTTTTTAGTGTTATTTTAAGCTGCTTATGAAAAACAACTCCTACTTATAAGAAACACAGGTAGTCATATTGTTAACTGGTACACAAGGTTATGGCTGTGTTTGGCCTATTATCAATTAGGATTGATTGTAAAAGTGGGGAATTAAAGATAAGCAAGAGCAATCTGTCTCATAGCCTTCAAAGCGTGGACAAGAAGGAAAGCTGTCTGTGAATGTGCTTTTATCAATTGTTTTTCTTTGAGTCTGATGTCATTTTATTTGGTTTAGCTTTCGCATTATTTGACTGATTCCTTGTTTATTGTGTTCAGGAAGCTTCAAAGCCAACTGTTTTGTCTTTCAGTAATATCTTCATGGATTTCTGTTCTGATGCAGTGCCCACAAGAAATGGGTCACATCTGCTTCTGAGTTATCTTGATCATTGGTACGTTTAACTTTTCATCTTCCTTTAGTTACTATTTTATTATTTTTCTTAAGAAATTTGTGTCACCATTTTGGCCTTCTTATCATATCATAGTCCAAGATCTAGCATGGATGCTTGAGGTTGTTTGTTTGTTTGTTTGTTTTTTTTT